GACACATGAAAAGAGGCTCAACATCCTTAGTCATTAGGAAAATGCAAATTAAAGCCACAGTGAGCTATTACCGCCCATCTATTAGAATGGCTGAGCAAGACTAAGCATACAGGGACTCTCAGCACTGCTGATAGGAATGTGAGTGGTGCACTCACTCCGGAAGACAAGTTAGGGGCTTCTTACAAAGTTATATAAATCCCTACTTTGTGACCCAGTCATTTCACTAAGTATTTGCCTAAGAGAAATGAAAGCATAGATTCATAGAATCACTTGTACGCAAATGTTCATAGCAGCTTTATTTGTTCTACCCCAAAACTCCAAATAACCCAAATGTCCAGGACAGGTGAATGGATAAGCAAAGTATGGCATATCCATACAGCACTACTTCTTTTTTTTTTTATGGTTATTTATTTTTGAGAAAGAGAGACAGAGCATGAGCAAGGGAAGAGCAGAGAGAGGAGGGAGACACAGAATCTGAAGCTGTCAGCACAGACCCTGATGCGGGGGTCGAACTCACGAACAGGGAGATCATGACCTGAGCTGAAATCAGACGCTTCACCAACTGAGCCACCCAGGTGCCCCGTATACAGCTCTACTTCTGAATAATAACAAGGAATGAACACGGATGAATCCCCAAATAATTATGTTGAGTTAAAGAAACTAGGCTGGAAATCCTTTATTTTATTGTATTTTATTTTGGGAGAAAAGAGTATATTTATAGTATATACTATACTCCATTTATATAAAATGCTAGAAAATGTAAACTAATCTATAGAGCGAGCTAGTGGTTGCCTGGGCACTAGGTGGAAGAGGGGGAGGAAAGAATTATAAGGGGCAGAGGAAAATTCTCAGAGCTGAGGAAGGATATGTTAATGTCCTTGATTGTGGTGATGGTTCCTGGTATATATTCCCATCGAAAGTTATCAAATTGTACACATTAGGGGCGCCCGAAGTTGGTCCGACTTCAGCTCAGGTCATGGTCTCACAGTTCATGAGTTCAAGCTCTACACTGGGCTCTTGAGCTCTAAGCTGATAGTGCAGAGCCTGCTCGGGATTCTCAATCTCTCCCTCTCTCTCTGCCCCAGCCCCGACTCGTTCTCTCTCTCTCTCTCTCTCTCTGTCTCTTCCTCTCTCTCTCAAAATAAAAAACTTAAAAAAAAGAAATTTAAAAAATTGTACAAGTTAAATATTTGCAGTTTGCATGTGTCAATTACACTTCAGTAACACTGCTAAAGAAAAAAAATCTTAAGAGTGAAACACCTATATGAAGGTAAAAGTGAAATTCCTACTTCATATTGTTTTCCTTCCCTTACTCCTTTTCACAGTGGTGAGCCATGTCAGGAATTTGATGTTCGTTTATGATTTTTTTTTTTTTTTTGCTTTCTAACATTTTTGGTTGAGGTGCAATTTGTTTATTAATTTAAAAATATTGGGGCATCTGGGTGGCTCTGTCGGTTAAGTGTCCAACTTCGGCTCAGGTCATGATCTCACGGTTTGTGGGTTCGAGCCCCGTGTCGGGCTCTGTGCTGACAGCCAGCTCAGAGCTTGGAGCCTGTTTCGGATTCTGTCTCCTTCTCTCTCTGACCCTCCTCTGCTCACGCTGTCTGTCTCTCTCTCTTAGAAATAAATAAAACGTTAAAAAAATATTTAAGTAATATCTACCCCCACACTGGGGCTGGATCCTGAGATCAAAAGTTCCATATTCCACTGACTGAGCCAGGCAGGCACCCCTGTTGAGGTGCAATTTAAATACAATGAAATGCACAAAGTATACAATTCAGTGTGTTTCAACTAATTCATGCACTGTGTACCCTACACACCTCATCCTCATAGAGAACATTTCCATCACTCCAGAAAGTTCCCTCACACCCCTTCCCTGGCAACCTCCACCCTCCATTCCCAGAAGCAGCCAGCATTCTGATTTCTTTCACCATAGATTAGTTGTGCTGTTCTAGAACTTCATATAGGAGAAATCACATAGTACTGTGTTTGAAATTCTTCCCAGAGCTTGATTTCCTCTCTTTTTTAGTTTTATATGTTTTTAAAAATTTTATTTTTAAGTAATCTCTACAACCAACATGGAGCTCAAATTTATAACCCCAAGATCAAGAGTCACATGCTCCACTGCCTATTTCCTCTCTTTTTAAAAATCCATTTCCAGGGCGCCTGGGTGGCTCAGTCAGTTAGGCATCAGACTTAGGCTCAGGTCATGATCTCAGGGTTCGTGGGTTCGAGCCCCGTGTCGGTCTCTGCTGACAGCTAGCTCAGAGCCTGGAGCTTATTTCAGATTCTGTGTCTCCCTCTGTCTCTGACCCTCCCCTGCTCATGCTGTCTCTCTCTCTCTCTCTCAGAAATAAATAAAACATTAAAAAGAATTAAAAATTCATTTCCAGATACACTTGTACTTGGGAGCAATATGTTTGCTTTTTTACATGCAAGAGGTCCTACCTTGACCCCCAGTCTCATACTTGCTTTCTCCACCAAGAGTAGAATCTAGGTATCTCTCAGCCATACTTCGCATCTGCTGCATGGCCATTCCACAGCATTTATGTTCCATTCATAGTGTATATGTTCTATTCATAGTTTACATAATGCCCCCATTGATGATGGACATTTAGGTTATTTCAAAGTCCCCTCAATGAACATCCTTGAGCAGATATGTTTGTGTCTGTGAGTGTCAGTTTCTCTGGAATTGATGCCATCAGGTAGAATTGCTCGGTCAATTAATAAACACTGGGTAATGAAATAATATTGTCATTTCCCCTGGCAAGTCATTGTCCTTCCAATTCTTCAGCAATTGTTTTGCACACCAAAAAGCTCTCTCTGGTCATTAGAAGATTGCTAAACAAGGCTTAGGGATTTGGGAGTTTGCAAGGGGTGGTGGTAAAGGGGATGAGAAGTCCAGTTAATTAATTAATGATGCCTCTCGCCTTTGAAGCTGGTCTAACTGATCAGTTTTCCTGGTTTCCCCATGTGGAGGCAGAAGCTGGGGTTTACTGCCCCCTCCCCTAGACTTCTGTGGGAAAAGCAAACCTGTGGATGCCCAGTGAATTAATTGGTGGTGGGGTGTGGGGAGGGACCATAATATCAATTCTCCCCTTGGAGGGCACAGTATTTTAGTCCTGCTAAAGCTGTGTGCCCTTGGGTGACTATTGTAATCTTCCATGTCCCTGCCTCTGGCCAATCTAGGGCTCTGGAGACTGACAGCTTACCCTGGCAGGAAGGGATGCATTACAATAAAGTGCCCCTGTTATAATAATGCCACCATTACAATAGCTATGGCCCTTGGGAGGCTTTTTGAGCCTCAGTTTCCTTTTTTTTTTTTTTTTAAATATTTTTATTTATTTCTAGGAGAGAGAGAGAGAGAGACAGCGTGAGCAGGGGAGGGTCAGAGAGAGAGGGTGTCACAGACTGAAACAGGCTCCAGGTTCTGAGCTGGCAGTCAGCACAGAGCCTGACGCGGGGCTCGAACCCACAAACCGCGAGATCATGACCCAAGCGAAAGTCAGACGCTTAACCGACTAAGCCACCCAGGCGCCCCATCAGTTTCCTTTTTTCTAAAAAGAAACTAAAGAACTCCCCTCGAGAGTTGGGGCCAGGGTTACAGAAGATAACTGCAAACGTCTCACACACAGTTAAGTACGTAGTGCCCAGCGCGAACTCACAATTCAATAAGCCGTCACCTTTGTCGTTATTATCAAAATACTGTATTAGGAATCAGAGAGGGCCGAAGACCACTAACTGCACCCAGCTTCAGAGTTGGGATTGGAACTCTCTCCAGGCCGGAGGGGGAGCTGGGGTGGAGGAGGAGGTGAAGAAACGTCCCAGTGATCTGAGGTGTGAGCCCTGGTGGGGCGATTCCCAGGTGTGGAGCAGGGAGGTAAGGTGACCCTTGCCCAGCGCCCGCGCCCGCGAGGAGCCTTCCCGCCCGAGGTCCGCAGGTGACTGGCCGAGCGGGGCACAGTGGGGGAGCGCCCTAGCCGGGTTTTCAGTCTCCATGGCGACCGCCCGCGCGGCGCCAGCCTGACAGCCCGTCCCGGTTTTATGAATGGGTGACGTCACGGGCCTGGCGTCTAACGGTCTGAGCCGCTTGTTCAGACGCTGACACAGACCCGCCCGGGAGGTGGGGGGGTGGGGGGGGTAGGCTCGAGCTCCACAGCTGCCGCTCCGTGGGAGGGAGACCCTGATCGGAGGTCTGGGGGGGTGGGAGGGGAATGAGGGGACAGGAAACAACCAAAAAAGGGAGAAAAATTCAAAAATAACTAGTTGATCCAGATTTGGGGAATTTTTGCAGAGCGATGCAAATTTAGGGTGGAATCAGGGGATGCAGCCCCCCTCTGGACTCCTTCTATCTAGTTCATGCCCCAGAGGACCAGCCCCCAATACCAAAGGAAAACTTTCTCGAATTAATTGCTCCCACCCTGAGGAGCCTGGGTAAAACCTCTGGTCCCAGAAACATTAACCAGCAACTTTCTCTGGGAACTGGGTAAGGGAGGCCAGCTCTGGGGAGCAGAGTGTAAAGGAAGGCCCGCTTTAAGTTTTGGCCCGAAGAGCCGGGAGATCTAGCTCCCAGAAGCCCAGGCTCTAGCCAAGGGCTGTCTCGGTAACCCAGAACCAGCCCCTTCCCCATCGGGGCCTCAGTTTCTCTCATCTATAAAAGGGAGCTGAGAGGTGAGAAAATGAGCCTGAGAAAACTGACTGTTGGTCGTTTCGGTGTCTGCAAAGCCTCCGCGAGGAGCCCAAGGTAGCCCTCGCCTCCACCAGCCACCCCGCCCCGTGCCCTCCCACTCTCTCGGTTCCTGAGACTCGGGCTCCCTGGCCATGGCCGCGAGGGTGCACGCGCAGAGCAGGAGGCGGAGCCCAGAGGCGCGCGAAGCCACGCCTTGAGACCTCCCATTGGCTGCTTTTGAACCCCTGAGCCCGCCTCTAGCGGGGTGTGTTGGTGGGGGGAGCCGGGCGTATCTATAAAATATGGGCTGCGGGGCTCAGACCTCGCATTCTACAACCGTCTTTCCCCAGCTCCCGGTCTTCCTCAACCCTCCCCCGGCGTCCTCTGTGCGCTTCGTCTCCCTCCTCTTACTCCGACGCCAGAGTCATGAAGGTCGCCAGTGGCAGCGCCGCGGCCGCCGCGGGCCCCAGCTGCGCGCTGAAGGCCGGCAAGTCGGCGGGCGGCGCGGGCGAGGTGGTCCGCTGTCTGTCCGAGCAGAGCGTGGCCATCTCGCGCTGCGCGGGGGGCGCCGGGGCGCGCCTGCCCGCCCTGCTCGACGAGCAGCAGGTGAACGTGTTGCTCTACGACATGAACGGCTGCTACTCGCGCCTCAAGGAGCTGGTGCCCACCCTGCCCCAGAACCGCAAGGTGAGCCGGGTGGAGATCCTCCAGCACGTCATTGACTACATCTGGGACCTGGAGTTGGAGCTCAACTCGGAATCCCAAGTCGGGACCCCCGGGGGCCGGGGGCTCCCCGCCCGGGCTCCGCTCAGCACCCTCAACGGCGAGATCAGCGCCCTGGCGGCCGAGGTGAGGTCCGAACTGGAGCACGAGAGCAGTTTCCTTCTACAGATGGGGAAACTGAGGCCCGGGGGGTGGGGGGGGGACTTGGCCCTAGGACCTCCCCATCTTTTCGGGCACTTTCTTCGCTATGCGAGATAGGGAAAAGCGCTCCCTTAACGCGTCTCCTGGGGAAGGGCTTGCAGCCTTGTCTCCTCCAACCTGCCCGTCTCACCTCTCTCTCTCTCTCTCTCTCTCTCTCGTTCCCACAGGCGGCATGTGTTCCAGCGGACGATCGCATTTTGTGTCGCTGAAGCGCCGCGCTCAAGGACTGGCGGACCCCAGCCCTCCAGGGAGCGAGAGGAATTCGTGTTCTCTGATCCTACCGAGCGCCTCGCCGGAGGTGGGAAGGGACAAGATTGAGACCCACGACCGGGGGGCGCTATGCTGGACGCAGCCCAGGGTTGGCGGACTGAGGGCAGGCCCACCCTCCCCCGACACCTACCAGCCACCAGAGACTTGGGGGACGCCCCCCCCCGTGTGTTTCTATTTTTTGAAAAACGAACATTTTAAAAAATGGTCACGTTTGGTGCTTCTCAGATTTCTGAGGAAATGAATTGCTTTGTATTGTATATTACAATGATCACCGAGAATATTGTTTTTACAATAGTTCTGTGGGGTGTTTTTTGTTGTTATTATTAAACAAATCCTTTAGACTGCGGTACAGTGCAGTGACTTACTGGATCAAGGGGAGGGCCTTGAGGGATGGGGTGACTCCTGACCCCATTCCCAGCTGGTGCTGGGGGGGGGAGGGGGACTAGAAGGCCACATCTGGACTGTCGCTTTTACCGACCTGAACTTAGTGTTTTCCGGTGTCTTTAAAGTCCGTTCTTTCCCCATCGCTGGCCATTTCCCTGCTCCCCAGTGTCATAAAATTAAATCCTCTAGACCTCTAGGGTTTTTCCAAGTGGTCACTGGACCACCTGGGTCACCTGTGAAGGTTGTTAAAATGCAGATCAACTTTTCCAAGGCGCCCTCTGAGTTGAGTATTCAAACAAACCATGTATGCTGGAGAACCGGGTCACTGGGCCCCTCAAGATAGGGGAAGGGGAGGTCTAGAGGAAAGGCTTCCCCAGAGCCTGTCTGAGATAGGGCTTCTGTCACCCCATTTCCCAGTAGGAGGTGCCTTCCCCGGCAGGGCCGCCTGGCCCTGGATTGTAGCAGGCTGCCCTGGGGCTCCTGGCTTGTCCAAGTGGGTGAGCAAGTTGGCAGGGCTAGCCTGGGCACAGCTGCAGAGCCACCTGCTCTGGGTCCGGACTTGGCCCCCTCACCCTAGCCTGGGTATGCCAACAGCTCAGACAAACGGGCGCTCCCTCCCCCAGGCTCCCCGTGTGGGCTGAGGAGTGGGCGACACCGCCCGCAGCTCCGGAGCAGGAAAGAGGTGTCCCTGGCAAGGGACTATCTGCCTGGACATGTGTGCATCTGTACATAGGGGAACACATCTGAGTGTCTGGGCCTGTGTATGTGACAAGAGTGAACTGGTAATTCTCCCCCAGGGGCCGGGGGTCAGCTGTTGGGGTACCTGGGAGGGGTGGATAAGGATGTGTGCGGGGGCGGGGGTCTGCAGGAGGGCAAATGTGAGCACATGTGTTCCGCAGATAAGTGTGTGCAGCCTCCAGCTGTTTGGGTCTGTGTGTTCTGCCTCAATGCATCATGGGCATCTCGGCATGGGTCTGGCGTGATGGATGGCTCTGTGTGTCCCGGAGATGCAGAACCACACTGTGGGTTTCTAAGTGTGTAATTGTTCCGTAGGCCTCTGCTGGTCTGGGGTGGAGGTGTGGGCAGCTGTGTTCGGGCAAACCCTCCCTCGGGTTCAAGTACGGATCCTGCGGGCAATCGTTAGGCCCTGGGACACCGAGTATCCCTACCACGTGGGTCCCCAGGTATTACACGGGAACAGCCAAGCCCCAGCGAGGGCAAAGAACCTATCCCAGAGAGGGTAAGGACTATGAACACATGTTGTCAATAAATAGAATAAAATAATCAGCACCTAGTACCACGAACCCGATCCATGCTCCGCTCTTTATAGTGAATCCCCTGGACCCCTGGGGGGCTAACGACTGGATTCTGATTTACAACAAGAAACAAGCTCAGAAGAGATGAACAGCACCGGCAACTAGTGAAAGATTATCCAGGTACCTTCCCAGCCCAAGCACCTTATGGACTCAATCAAAGAACCCGGTATTTGGAGGTAAATCATGTCCTTTGCTGCTCCCCGCTCAACACCCCTCCCCTCTGCTGTTGAACGGCAGTAACTTCTCAGCATTGTTGGAGAGAATAAATGGAACGGAGCGCCTCGCCCGCAGCGTTTGGTAGTTAATAAATTTGCATTATTAACTGTCGCCCGTGTGTCCTTGGGGTGTCCTCGTGGGCACTCGTGGGCACCCGCTCCTCGCGTGTGCGGGCTCCCCCCTCCCACCGCAAGCCCACCCACGGGCGCGTGGGCGTGTCCCCCGCGCGTCCTCCCACACGGGAGGGTCGTCTTCCCCCCCGCCCCGGGAGGAAGGGGCTGCGGCGGGGGGCTGGAGGGGGGGGGCAGGCGGGGGGGGGGCTCGGCCACCTCCCCCGCCATTCAGGCACGCTCTGGCTTCCACGTTTCCCTCTTTTCCCCTTTGGCCGGGGCCCAGCCCATCTGGAGGCCGGCTCGGCGGCGGCCTGGGAGCGTTTCCATCAGCTGGGCCCGAGGAATGCGGAGCTATTTAACCTGAGCATCCCCAGGTGTACGGAGGCGCCTGGCTGTCTGGGGCCCGCCGCCTTTGGCACGGCCGCGCTAGACAAACAGCGCCGCCCCCGCCCTGCCCCTCCGCCCGCAGCTGCAGCCGGGCCTGGGAACGGGCGGGCGCCGGGCTTGCATCAGGCTCGCCTCGCAGGGCGGGGGCCGGCGCGACTGTGTGTGTGTGTGTGTGTGTGTGTGTGTGTGTGTGTGTGTGTGTGTGCGCGCGCGCGCGCGTGCGTGTGTGTAGCACGCAAGAACCTGTTCTGTGTATGCACAAAATCCTGCTGTGTGTGTGTAAGTATAGCACACAAACCCCTACTGTGTGTGTGTGTGTGTGCGTGTGTGTGTGTGTGTGTGTGTGAGTGACGCAAAACCCTGCTCCTTGCAGTGCTGCTTGGGAAACCATTAACTCCTTAACCCCTCCTGGACAGGGTGCGGGGAGGAGCCGGCACGGAGGCCTCAGAGAAACACCAGGACGAAGTTTCTTGGGCCTGAGACCCTGCCTGTCCGGGGCTGTGGGTCTGAGACCGGAAGTCCTCTTTATTTTCTTTAACAAACGTGGATAGGGTACTTCTTATGTACCATATAGCGTAGGTACTAAGGTCTTTTAAAATTTATGGGGCGCCCAGGTGGCTCATTCGGCTCAGGTCATGATCTCACCATGCTGGGTTCAAGCCCTGCATCGGGCTCTGTGCTGACAGCTCAGAGCCTGGAGCCTGCTTCGGATTCTGTGTCTCCCCCCTCTCTATGCCCCTCCCCTCATGCTCTGTCTCTTTCTGTTTCTCAATAATAAATAAATGTTAAAAAATTTTTTTAAACTCTTAAAAAAATAAAATGAAATTTAATTCGTCTAAGCCTCTTGGGAGTTGTATAAGGCAGTGTTATCACTCTCATTTCCATTGAAATAACAGCGGGGCGCCTGGGTGGTTCAGTCGGTTGGGCAGCAGACTTCGGCTCAGGTCATCATCTCACCGTTGGTGGGTTCGAGCCCTGCATCAGGCTCTGTGCTGGCAGCTAGCACAGAGCCTGGACCCTGTTTCAGATTCTGCGTCTCCCTTTCTTCTCTCTGACCCTTCCCTTCTCACGCTCTCTCTCTCTCTCAGAAATAAATAAAAACGTTAAAAAAATTAAAAAGAAAACAGCAACAACAGTAATAATAGGCTAACATTTCAGTTGGGAGGCTGCTAGAACACAGCCTGTGGATCAGCCTTGACGCTCATCACTTCACCTGTTTCAGCCTCCGTGTTCCCATCTGAATAATGGAATCCCGAACCTTGTCTCCAAGGATCAAATGAACCAGTGTACATAAAAAGCTTAGCATTGCACCTGGCTCCTAGTGGGCACTTAGTGTACATGTGTGCCTGATGAGGCCATCGCTATTTCTCCTTTTCAGCAAAGTAAAGTAGGGGCATCACAGAGGTGATGGGACACTGACTTCGAGGGCTTTTCAGAAATCATGTTGGTCCCAAAAAGCCTTATGAGGGATTTCACGCTCCCAGAGGACATCCAATTGAGTCGTTTCATCATAGTTCCGACTGAAATCATACCTGGTAGTTAGCTGTTCTTGTGTTTAATGTGTCAGTTGGAAAAATGCAAGACACAGAAGGTGTATCACAATTTTTGCGACCCATGTTTAGGCATTTCTTAATTAAAAAAAAAAATCGAACTACAGCCCCCAAAGATGGAAATGGCCCAGGCTTTCTTGACCTCTAAGAGGTGCTAGGCTGGGATCTTCTGGTGAAGCTGGTCGTGAGAGGCATGTCACACAGCTGGACTCCGTTCTTGAACCAGGTAGAGACCAACCAATTTGTGGAAATGTCTGTTCCTTCCGAGGCCCAGGGATCACCAGGCCCTTGCCTCTGGATGCACACTCTCCCCTCTGTAGAGGGAGGGGTGCTTCACACACAACCAATCAACCTTGCACCTGCCTATCTGAGTCACCCAGAGCTCAGAGTTGGCTTAATAAAGAGGTACCCTCGCACCCCCCACATTGTGTCCCTTGAGACTAAAAAACTCAGCCATATAACCTTTATTTGTGCCAGCTACTGTCATTTGAGGTCCAGGAACGGCTGGCCTGATAGGGCTTTCCACTGCCCAGGGTCACACAGAGCAAGGCTTTCCTGGGACAGGCAGGCCTGTGATCCCAGCCTGGCTGCCAGAGAGAAAGGAGGTGAGTCATGGCCAGGCCAGGGTCCGGGAAAGGGAAGGGAAGGGAAGGGAAGAGGAAACCAGAAGGCCTGGAGGCACACATGGTTGGAGGGGGAGCCCTTATCTTCCCAGACCCGCCCTGGCTGGTGCTTCCTGCCCCAGTTCTTGCAAAATCTCTTTCCCAGCGCTGCACCCAAGGTGGGCGCCTTGGGCCAGTACAGGGTTGCATCAGGGACTTGTGCAAGGGGCAGCTGAGGACAGGGAACGAGACAGTGGCTGCAGGCCAGGAGGGGCAAGAAAAGACAGACACAGGTTCTAAGCCCTGGACCACTTCTCACTGGGCACTTGCTGCACCTTCCAGGCCCTCGGCATTCTCAGCTTTAAAATGGGTGTTACAGTCACTGTTCTGAGGTTCCAATGACATCATCCTGATTTCATCCACTCCTCAAGCCCCAGGCTAGGCTATTGTCATCTCCACCTGGAAAACCATGCCAGCCCCAACTAGCTTATTCAACAAATAGTTATAATGCTTCTACCATGCGCTAGGAACTAACAGGGATGCAGGAGCTAATAATTTAGACAAAAATTCTTGCCCTCTTCAAACTTACGTTCTAGTGGAAGAAGACAGTAAATAAATATGCATAGGTATAAGCAGAGGCAGATTCGCCCTGAAATTACTGAAGTTTAAACTTCAAACCTTCTTGCCTGGAAAAAGTCCTAGAAACATGTTCATGTTTTTTTATGTGGGCTTATGATGATGATGATGATGATGATGATGATGATTAATTATTTTGTAA